CTCTGCAAACCAGCACCCCCTTCCAGGAAACGCAGGGGCTCCCCGACCCCGGCCAACCCCTTCCAACCCTGAGGCGTCCTGCTCCCTCCATGAAAAGCACAGGCCGCCTGCAAGAGGGGCACATCCTCACCCCTCCCGCCCGCTGCCATTTTCCAAAAGAAACTCCAGTTTGTGAAACAAAATTTTCTGCCCAAAACACTGTCGAAGGAGAGGGGGACAAATCCAGCAGGCTTAGTCCTGAGTCACGGCACTTCCTTCTTTCAGAAACCCCAAGCCCCGGGTGGGCTGGACACGGACTCAGCCATTCAGCTGGCAACCCTGTTGGGCACCGACTCTGTGTCAGAGCTTCCAAAACTCTGGCCAGTCCTGACATCCCGTCAGGATCCTGGCTAGACAACTTTGTGCCTGAACTTTGACTTACCTTTTTCTTTCCATTTATGCTTTTGAAAATAAGCCCTAGTTTCAGCAGCGAGAGCCACAAATCATCCACAGGATGTCAAATAGCTACCTCTCCCCCCAACACACGCTCCAGAAGACACTCAAGATGAAAAGAAGTCACCTGTGTGTGACCTAACGTCCCTTGCCCACCACGCAGGGACAAGGCCACGTGACACGCTCAGCGCCAGGTCCTCCCACAGAGCAGAGCGCGCTCCCGGGGCGGAGCGGCTCCGGTACCCGCTGTGCACATGCTGCCTCATCACTCAGCCCTCCGGACCTCGGCTCTCTCGTCTGCAAAGCGCAAGTGCGTGTGTCCCCGTGCGTGCACACGTGTACGTCCACACACGTGGAACACTCGCTGGTACGGTGACGCGTGCAAAGTGCTCAAACCGGGGAGCACCTGCCACGTGAAAACGCGCATCAGCACTGCTGTGTGAGCTGCCAGGCGCTGTCCCCGAGGAGTCAGCAGCTTGAACGCGGACGAGCGCATTTTTCTCCTGGGAACGAAGTGAGCTGGTGCGTGCCTCACTGTAGGAGCAACCCAGGGGCCCGAGCCCGCCCCGGAGTCTGGTCGCCCCCTCCACCCCGAGGTCGTGCAGAAACCCGACTTGCTCCTCCTTCTGAACCATCACACGCCAGGAGCATCCGGGTTGGGAGGCAACATGCCCAAGATGTGACTCCCCCATCGCAGCCCAAGAGCGGCAGCGGCTCCCCACCCGCGTTGGCCCTGGGGAGCCGCACTGTCCCTTCGAACGGCCCTGATGCCGCCGCCGCCCCCCTACGTCAGCCTCCCTCAGGCACCCACTGAGGGCTGGCCCTGTCCCCTTCTGGGCCCTCACTGACCCCTGCACCGGAGGTGGCCCGGAGCACTAACCACTGCACCGCGTGCCCGGTCCCGGCAGAGCCCACAGGCTGCTCCTCGTCTGCGGTCCCTGCAGCATGGGCGGCAGGAGGCTTTGGCGACCGGCACGTACGTGGGGAGGGCCTGCTTCTCCAAGCTCCGTGGCTGGGGGCTCACACCTCCCCTCCCTGAACCTTAGCCTCTTCATCCGTAAAAACTAATTAAACCAGCCAGTGTTCACAACAAGCACTTCGGAGGTGCAAAGCCATTAGTGGTTTCTAAGTGGTGGGGGTTGGGGGTGAGGGGGGCGAGTGCTGCAAGCCCAGGGTTACTGAGAGAGAGTTCTGGGGTTGGCCTCAGCTCCACCCTGCCCAGGAGGCTTGCCCGGGGCCACCTCCACTCTGGGCGGCTCACCTTGCCTCTCTGCCCTCACCAGGCGGGCCACCTGAGGCCAGGGAGGGGCTGGCAGCATGGAGCTAGGCCGGCGCCTGTTCCTGGCCCAGAATGGTGTGAGCAGGGGCTTCCCCACCCCCTCCACAGCTGGCACCCTGCCCACCAGAGACGAGATGCTGGGGACCAAGAGGAGCTGCCAGCAGAGCCCCGGGCCTCCTGCACAGCTGGGTCAAGACTCTGAGCCAGGCCAGGCTGACCTTTCCCAGGGGAACCAGAGCCTCACATCCCAGCCCAGCGCCTGGCCTGCCCCTCCTGCCCAGCATGGCGCGGAGCCTGAGGGCGGGCAGCCAGCTCCCCGGAGCTGCCGGGTTCCTGGGGAGGCTGCTTCTTGCACATGCTCAGTCCCTCCTTGGTGTGCGCCCCGGGGCAGGCAGCCCTGACTCCATGCACCCGAGAAGAGAAAGTGCCCACCTGCCCACCCAGAACCCTGCAGCTTTGTGTTCCCTGCCCCACCCCCTCCCCATGCTCTGAGAATAACAGCCAAACTCCATCCCACAGCTGGTAAGGCCAGGATCCCAACAGCCTCTCCATCCCTTGCCTCTCTCCCCCTCACTCTGTGTTTCAACATCTTCTTACTTGACCACACTGCCCTGCCATAAGGCCTTTGCACATGCTGTTCCTGCTGCTGGGATGCTCTTCCCTCCCTCATTATTTGATTTTTAAAAAATATTTTTATTTATTTATTTATTTATTTACTTAGCAAAAGAGCTTGCGAGCAAGCGCACACACACGAGCAGGAGGAGGGGCAGAGGGAGAGGGAGAGAGAGAGAGAGAATCTTAAGCAGACTCTGTGCTGAGTGCAGAGCCCAACGTGGGACTCGATCCCACGACCCTGAGATCAGGACCTGAGCTGAAATCAAGAGTCGGACACTTAACCGAATGAGCCCCCCAGGCGCCCGGTGCCCCTCCTTATCTGATTAATAGTAGCCAAGCCATGGACTAACTCATTCAAACCTCACAGCAGCCCCACTCCCACTCTGTAACCAGAGTATCTGGGTTCAAACCCCAGCTCCACCAATTAAGAGCTGTGTGACCCGGGACAGCTCACGTAACCTCTCTGAGCTCTGGTTTCCAAATCTGAATAGAGGAACTAAGAACAGCACCTGCTTCGCACCCAGGAATACTGAGAAGTACCATGCAGTGTTACTTACTATTGTTTGTGCTCTGGGTGCCAGCCCAAGGGCTCCTACCTCGGGGAAACCCTCTCTGGCCTTGTGGAACCTCCTCCAAGTGTCGTTTTACACCTGCGTAGCAGGTCACTCACCTCCAGCCCACTTCCCCAACATGTGCACAAGCAGCCAGGGCTTGAACTCAGCACGAAGGGCTCCAGAGTCGCTGTATTGAACTGTGGGCCTACCACTTCTGAGCACCTACTGTATACTAAGAACTGTACATTTATGGCTCATGCCCCCTTACGATGCCCCCAGGAGATGGCGTCTCAGCCACATGCTAGAGTAGGAGCGAAATGAGGCCAAGACAGGGACGGGGCAGGCCAGGGTCACACGGCTGAGGGACGAGTGAGAGTTACAAATGGTGACGGGGCCCTCAATATGCCTGATACATTGCTGCCCTAAGCTCTTCTGGGTTTTGTTTCGTTTTTCACAGAACCGTGTTCCCTCCAAATTTCATGTCCACCTGCCACCTCTAAAGGTGACCTTATTGGGAAAAAGACTCTTTACAGACATGAGATCACCCTGGATGAGGGTGGGTCCTTATAAGAAGAGGGAAATCTGGACAAAGACACACAGAGGGAAGACAGCCACGTGAAGACGGAGGCAGGGATGGGAGCCATGTGCCCACAAGCCAAGGAACGCCAGGGACCGAGGCAGCCACCAGAGGCTGGACAAGCAAGACAGGTTTCCTCCCTAGAGTCAGAGGGAACGTGGTTCTGCCCACACCCTGACTTCGGACCTCTGGCTTCCAGAGCTGGGAGAGAGCGCCTGCTGTTCTTTCTAAGGCCCCCTCTGTTTGTGCCTTGTTAGGGAAACTCACACAGTGAGCGATATTCTAATTCCCACCAGACCGATGAGGAAACAGAGGCACAAAGAGGTTGACAGACTTGCCTGAGGTCACAGAGCTTTTAAAAGGCCTGGTTTCTCTCTGGGGATGGCTGGGGGGGGGGGGTGTCCTCTGCAGCTCAACCTTCCAGGCCAGGCTGCTGGAAGTCTTCTGGGATGCTCCAGGTAGGCTCAGCACCCCCAAGACCCTGGGGACAGCTGGCTGCTTGCTTCCCTGGGCTGCCCATGGGAGGGACCAGGCCGCTTCATCTCTGGGTACCCCTGCCCTGCACAGGGTGCAGCACTGGGTCAATGGGGAGGCTGGGTAGCAAGATGAGCGCATGCCATCTGCCTGAAGCATAGCTGCTTGAGTGCCTTCCTGGGTTGCTGAGGGCTGGACAGGGGGCTCCACGACATTCCCAGCCTCCCCACCCCTGCCCATGCTGGAGAGCAGTCGCTGGGGCTGCTAGCACCTGCCTGCCCGCCCCGCCCCCTCCCGCCGCCTGGAACACACAGCCATTAACAGCCACCCTGAGCAGTAATTGTCCAGATTGCTGTAATTCACGGCAGACGAGCACGCTGGCGCTCATCGCATTATTACAAATGTCACTGAGCAGGGCCTTGGCGTGCACAGTCCCCAGGGAGTTCTCGCACTGCCGTCTCTGTGGGCAGGACCCAGGATGAGCTCACTGCCGCTGTGAGGACCCAACCTTGAGACAGTGGGGCACACTCCCGTCTCGGCTGGTGAGTCATCCCGGCCGACCTCCCATTCCCCAGATCTGCCCTTCCCAGAGGGAGAGAGGACAGCCGCCAACTTGGCCAACTCCCGGTTCCCAGGCAACAGGGAGGGAGCCAGGGATGGAGCCGCCGTGACAACAGAAGACACTCTGGGGGGGGGGGCAGTGAGGGGCATGGGAGCACCGGTTGGCCGTCCTGGGACATGTGCATGGAGCCCCTCACCGCCCCAGTGGGTGGGGTGGGGTGGGGGGTGCCGGGCGGTATCGCTGCCAACAGCTGAGATGCAGGGGTCTCATGTGTGGTTAAAAAAACGTGCAATCCTCCACAAATGTTCCCGGCGGCCCTGTTCACGATAGCCCCAAGGTGGAAACAAGCCCCATGACCGTGGGCCAACGGACGAATGAATGCATCAGCAGGACGGGGGCGTGGGGGGGGGTCCCTCCACGCCGTGCAACAGAGCTCGGCCATAAAAAGGAACAAAGCCCACACGCTACAACGTGGAGGAACTTCGAAAACGTGAGGCCGAGGGAGAGAAGCCAGACACAGAAGAGCACGTACTGCAGGATTCCATTCATGTAAATGGCAAATCCACAGACGGAACGGAGATGAGTGGATGCCAGGGGCTGGCAGGCCTTGGGGGCTGGGTGTGACCACTTGTGGGCACCGGGGTTCCGTCTGGGGTGATAAAATGTTCTGGAACCAGGAAGAGGTGAAGGTTGCACAACACTGTGAAAATACTTAATGCCACCGAACTGTACACTTTTAAATAGTAAACAGTAAGTTTTATGTTATGCGTGTTTTGCCGAAATTACATAACAGAGAGGAAAAAGCTCACACGCTCTCAGGGAAGCCTCCTTTGCACCCAGTAGTGCAATCCATCCTGGAACCACACGGTGGACAGAGGACAAAGGAAAGCAACAGTGTAGCCCCCTGTGCCCTGCAGCTAGAGACAATGCCTAGGCCCCCCGCGTACTGTACTGCTCTGCTGAAAACCTCTCATCTTCCAGGGCCTCGGTGGGTCTCGCTCCAGGGCGGGGAGTTCGGCAGGGGGGCCTGGGGCCTCGGGAGGGCGGGAGGAGCCTGCTCAGGTCTGGGGCTGCTCCTAGGTGGTTTCTGAAACACCAGGGCAGAGCACTCAGGTCACACAGCAGCCCCTTTCCAGGGTGGAGGGGGGGGCCTGGAGGCCGCCCTGTCCTCACACTCGCCTGCCCCCGTGCACCCGGGGCCTTCACAAAAAAGGCCATTTGTTCCCTCTGTGGGTCACGACCTGGAGCTCTGGGCACAAGAAGCTGCACGTCAGCGGTGGGGCCCTGTGGGGCCAGGGGGACGAGAGCTGGAGGCCCCGCTAGTCACTTCCTCCTCTGTGAGACAGGATGGAAACAAGAGCCCCTCTGGGAGCTGGAATCAGAGTAAATGAGAGCAGGCAGGTAAACAGGGTTCAGGCGCCGCCCAGCCTCAGCCTCCCTGTCAGTGTTGGGCACGGGCGAGGGAGGAGTCGGCCCAGAGACAAGAGGAACCCACGTGGCTGCAGCCCCAACAGCGCAGGACCCATCCTCAGGGCCCTCGATGCTTGTTATCTCCGGTCCCTCACGGCCAACGCGGATGCCCCTCCCACTTCACAGAACGGGAAACTGAGGCACAGAGACAGGTCACTGAGCCAGGAAGGGAAGGACCCTGCTGTTCCGGCTCCAGTGAACACAGAGCTGGCTTCTGGAGGCGGATGTGAGGTCAGCACTACCTCACATGGCCTCCAGCCGCCTCCAGGGACATGACACAACCGAGGGGGGGACACAGCTTGCCTCTGTGACCCCACCGCAGTGGCTGCCGGCAAGCTCTGTGCCTCCCCTCCCAGACGCCCAGGTGTGCTGTTGCCAGGATCTACGGGGCCGCAGCCTGCGGACCCCGGAGGCGACAGAAGCTGTCCACTGACCCGTGTCCACAGCAGGAGCTGCACGGTTTCGGAGCTGTGCCTTGACGTCACCCTGGGGACACACTGTGGAGCCCGACAACGCAGCCCCTGAAGGGCCAAACTGAGACTCCAAGGAAAAGTGACCAATCTGAGAACGCCCGAAAGCAGAGCCTGCCCCTCCAGATGGCACCAGAGCACGTGGTTCAGGCCTGATGTGCCTCAACCTCCCCAGCACACGAGCTTCAGGACCTGGATGCCAATCGAGATGGGTCAGAGCCCCCAGAGACCCTCACCTTTCTTGGCTGTCTCCATCTCTTCTTCAGTCCAGCGAGAACTCTCATTCATCTCCATCGAAGCTAAAAAGGAAGACGGGGTGCATGGACAGCAGTCCGAGGGGCGGTCCAGCCTCCACACAACCCGCTGGGATGGAGGTGGTGTAATCAGCCCAGTTCACGGGCGGGGACACTGAGGTGGTCCAGGGCCTGGACTGTGAGAACGATCTCTGCATGCACTTGGTTGGGGAGAGGGTGACCTACCTGAAAGCATGGTGACCGCATGAAGGTCAGGGGAACAAGGGATGTGAGCTTTGGATGGGCAGGGACCTCATCTGAGCGTGGACTTGTCAGTATGAGTGATTCTTTGCTGTTAAACCCCTGGTTTTAACCCACTAGATGCCAGTAGTCCCCACTCAAACTGTGACAATCAAAAATGGTTTCAGACATGGCCAACTGTCCGCTGGGGCTTATAAGGTCTCTCACTGAGAATGCTACAGGGTGACTGCTATATTCTCCCCCAACTCCCCCTGGTCAGGATGAAGCTTTAGAAAGGGGGACATGGCTCCCCTTGACATCACACAGAGTTGGCCAGGCCTCTGCTGTGGCACGGTTTTTGGGTCTCTCCTCCAAGGTCCCCTAGATATGAGCCCAGGTCTTGCCCTGTAAATTGCTGAAGACCTCATGAAGAGGGCAGACATGAGGGACCGGCTTCATGGACTCAGTGCCTGGAACAGCACCAGGCCCGGAGTATGTGCTGGCAGAGGCCAGCTGACCAGTGGAGGGAAGTTCCAGCAGGAGGGAAATGAGAAGGAACAGCTCAAGCCGAGAGAGGGGAGATGGCCCCCACCCTCCCCCTAGGGCAGCCTCCCCCTGAGAAGGAACAGCTCAAGCCGAGAGA